AACAGGGTTCAGCAGTAGATGAACAATCACAAAATGATAAGGAAGCAATATTAGAGATATTATCAGAAGTATTAGCTGTTAATGATTTTATAGTTCAGCCCAAGCAACATGTGCCTATTTGTAAAAAAAATGATAACCTTTCTAATAATAATACATCTAATTTCAATTCAGTTATAGATTAGCTTGTTCACAAAGTGATCAGAGTACCTAATAATAATGCAAACATCAAGTTAGTAAAAGAAAGAGAGACAAATACTTTCTTAGATGAGGTGTATAAGAAAAGAGTTAGCAATAAGATTAAACAGAAGAATAGAGAAAAAAAATTATTGCATGAATTATCTACAAAAGATTTATCTGCTTCCTCTGGAGCCTTTTCTGGAACTCAGAATGAAGAATTTTAATTATATAAGAAGAAAGTAGCAGAAAATATTGTGCAGAATGTATTTGATTTTACTATAGACAGATTTGAAAAAAATCATATGATGAAAATTTCACTAACAGGCTATGAGAAAAATAATTGCCAAAAAAAGATAAAGTCTTAGGAGGATTTAGCAGAGCTATCAAATTCAGACATATTGCAAAATATATACCACTTATATGAAAATATATATACTGCAAATAATAAAAGAGTAAAGGCTAATCAGGCAAAAATTTTGTACTGAAGAAGTTTTATTATAGGACTGAATAAAAGTGTAAATAAAATTATAATCAAAGAAAAGGTTGGTATAAAAAAAGCCAAAGGACTAATTTACGATTTTATTCTTATATACAACTCTGATATCAAATAAAAAACTTTATATCAGTGCATTAGTAGAGCCAGGAAGATCAAGCCAATACTTATTAGGTTTTTGGTTCACATTATACATGCTAATAAAATTATTTTAGGTTTCAGGGTATGAAATTAAAATTTGAAGACGAAATTGTTTTTGATCTATTTTACTTAAAAAACAAAATTTTTTAACACTTTTTTTAAAGAGATGAAATTATAAAGAACATAACTACCTAAATTAGATTTGCTCTTGCATATAAAAAATTCTAAATTGTTCTAATGAAGATGAAATAGGATTTTTTTAAAAACCTATTTCGGTAGCATGTATAGTTTACATTGTTCACTATATAGAGAAAATCATATGAGTTTGCAAGGTAGGTGGTAATCAGATAATCAAGGCAATAAATTTTATTATTTGTATTGTGATAATATCAAAGATCTAGAGATTCTATTTGACAAGGTACTAAAAGCCTATCTCGAAAATTCCAAATTAATTCAGGAGTTAAAGACTCAATCTTTCATATTATCTATTCCTTAGAATAATGTACTTAAATTTCTAAATAAAAGCATAACAATAGAGGCATAATTTTCTATAGAGTATCACAAGTCAAAAATAGAAAATATTACATCTGTAGCTCACAGTGTACATCAATATATATATTTTTTTAAAATAAAAAATAGCAGTGCTATTAACCTCTTTCTTTATTTAATATAAATTGCTGCTAGAACAACAATATACAAATAAAAAAATATAAATAAAAAATACAAATAAAAAATACAAATAGAAAAAAAATTAATTATCTTCTTGTATTACAATAATGTGGATAATATTTTGATCAGGATTTATACTGAAATAGTCATAGATCCTACTATTTGAATCTATATTTATAAGATAGTCTTCAAGGGTAGAAGAATATCTATGAAGCTGATAATGATTATTTCTTAATCCGGGTGGTAAGCTGGCCTGAATCTGAGTTATTATTGTGTGAACATGGTTTCTATTAAAAACTTTAATTCTGTAAAAATAATACGGTAAGCCCAAGACAAGACAATTAAGATCTATGTCAATACGATCGTTATTACCTATTTTTTATATCTAAATACAAAAAACAAAGTAAGCAAAAATTTATTTTTATAGTCTTCATTAAATAAAATAGCAAATTATTTTAAAAATAAATTATAGGCAAGTAGACAAGTAAATATATATATATGAACAAAAAATAATACTATTGCTGACTTATCTTACGGGCTAGAACTTGCTTATTTTTATATCGACATTTGCTAGATCTAGAGAACCTACCAGAAGAAAAATTTCAAGCTTAGTAATTATATTACTCTTATATAATGCCAGATCACACTTAACAAAGAAACCCTGTTTCGGCTATAAGGTCCAAATATTGAATTTATTTTGCCATTTTCTGGTAAAATTACAGAATTAACCTCTTAGATTTGACGGTCGCTTAAAGTAGATTTAGATCTGATGATTTTAGAAGAATAACAATAATTCTGAGTTCATACAATATATGAATTTTGGTAATACTACTGATTAAGAATATTATATGTATTATCCTTATAGCCTTTTTAAGTTACTTTCTTATCACAGGATCATATAAAATAAGGAAAAGAGTCTAGACATTATTCGTATTATTCGCAATATTTGTTAATTAATAAAAAAATCGATGAGAATTAATTCTGCAAAAAAGTATCACAAAACCTTAT